TTCTACGATCCGGCGCCAAAGCCATAGAAATACTTAGAGAACAAACGAGTGGGACGCTTGGGCTGTTTTTATTTTCATGTTTTGTGGGAATGCGCGGCCCTTGATGGATACTGCAGATGCAGCCGAGTTGCTCTTGAGTTCTGCCCCTTGTCATCATCTTCTGCTCTTATTTTGTAGCACCTCCAATGTTATCCGCATCAGGAAATTGCGTTTTACTTGTATTTGAGAGCGCAATTAAAGGACTTGGCAAAGTGCCAAGGAGCCGCACGCGACAGGCGCGCTTGCAACGGATGTTATCAACGGCGGGAATCTGCGCCGTAAAAAGGCAGTGGGCGGAGCATGGAAGAATTAGCGTGTTTCACGGCCCTGTATCTCCATTCCCGGGCATGTTTGGGCGGGGGGACCACGACACATCGACATCTGGGGGGCTGATAGTCTCATACACCCTCAATGTGTATGAGCGTACTATCGGGGTTGGTTCCTTTTCTAAAGCGGAGCTCTGGAGGCAGCAGTCACTATGGAAAAAGGGGAGAACTCGTCACAACCGAGACTATATTATGCCCGCTATAGCGCCCCTCCCTTACAGGTTTTTACCGTTAATCGGTACAGGATTGTATTAGATTATCAAAAAGTTTTGGTTGGGTTTCTTGAAAGTTCGAGAACTTTCATGAACTTTGTCGATACCAGTGATCACTACCAGCTGGGTGAACATTCTAGGAACATCCTCCGTAGTGGGTTGTATAATAGGCGTCGTTCTCTTTAGCTTAAATCACGATGTCAATTCCACGGGACCATGTTCGATACATTATCTTCTACGAGTGCCGCCGCGGCTCCGGAGCGACGGCAACCGTTTGCAGCATCAACAGCGTATGGGGAGGACACCACTTCCATCGCTACGGTCCATCGCTGGTTTGCTCGCTTCAAGGAAGGAGACACGGACTTCGAAGACAAGCCTCGGTCGGGACGCCCCCTCGCCGTCGACGACTCCGTCATTCTCGACGCCGTCAAAGAGGATCCGGAAGTTAACACCCGTAGTCTTGCGACGCGACGAGACTTGGGGGTGCTGCCCAGTCAAGAGGTCGTTGTCGCCTTCAGGCCCTCGGCCTACAGAAAAGTGCTGACTCGATGGATACCTCATGTCTTGACCGATAGCATGCGGTACACCCGGGTATCCATTTGCCAGTCTCTCCTTCTCCGCCCCTGCATATCGCCAAATGGAGTTATCTGGACAAACCTAGTACTAGCAGATCGGAAAGCTGGATCACTCTACGAAGCACCGCGGCCTCTGGCCTCCCTCCCGCGAGGAGAACAGCCGCCGACGCAAGCCAATCCGACCTCCACCCCAAGAAGTTTCTCCTTTGCTGCTTCTTGGGATTCAAAAGGAATGCTGTACTACGAACTGCTCAAGCAAGGCCACACCGTCACCGCTCCCTATTACGCTGGTCAGCTGCAGAAACTTGCGGAAGCCGTTCGAGAAAAACGGCCTAGACGAACTTTTGTGCACCTCCTCCATGACAACGCTAGGCCTCACATAGGTAAAGAAACCCGTGCATTGGAGGGCAGCTGGACACACGGTCCCACATCCACCCTATTCACCTGATATTGCCCCCCTCAGATTACCACTTGTTCCGGCCCCTCAAGGCTTTCCTAGCAAAAAAAAACGATTCGTCAACTATGACCACCTTGAACAAGTGGTCGGTGACTTCTTTGACTCCCAATTTCCTAGTTCTGGGAGAAGGGAATCGCTGACCTGCCCGTTAGGTGGGACAATGTTATGACTAAACAATGCGTTCATTATTATTGTTGATTTAGTTGCATTGCGTTGCTAAAATCCAAAACAGAGAAGAAAAAAAATCGCCAACCCTATCAAAACTTTTTGATCAACCTAATATGTCGCGGACCACACTGCCCTCCTGACGCCACATTTCCAACTTCATACACTCGAAATCCTAGAGATGGGTTAGGCGTGGCTGCGTTTTTCGACTGATCGTGGCGGTTACTGGGCTTTTGGAGAAATATTTCCATTTTGACACAATTGTGGTCGTGTCTCTATCCAATGCTGAACCAAGATGGACAGTCTCTCTGATTGAAATATTCTACGAGTGACCGTTCTGCGCCATGCCCAAATGCCACGCCCACCCTATCTCAGGGATACGGAGTACCTGATCGCGGACCGTACCTTCAAGTCGATTATATGGGCAAGTTTTGCTGAAGTATGCGGCTGAGTTGGGCATTTTAACAACGGTCATGTCGCACTTGAAATCCTTAATTTCATTTATCGCCTTGGACACCACATTAGAGTGCCTCTCGAGTAGGGTAGTAGTACAGAGTACAAGAGAATCGTAATTCACCGCGCTACGTGGGGCGTCTGTGTGCAACGTCGCTTCGGCAAAATGACGCATGTCCCAGGTAGTTGGCCGACAAACAGATAATATCAGAAACAGAAAATAACTTATAAATGTCCTTGATGAGGACGCCTACATCGAAGCTCCCAATCGCAGGGTAAAAGGAGTTAAGAAAACGCCGCGTCCATCGCTGCACGCAGGGGAGCGACAAACTACGATTCTCTTGTCCGTCTCCCCAATCCTTAAGATAAGGTGAAAATGTATGGGAATTTTGCTCCTCTTAGGTACTCAACTGAGCGGAACTGTTTAATCCTGAAAAAGCCATCAACTGTCGACGGTGTAAAACGATGTTTCCAAATACAGCACTCGAAACGCAAAAAATTTACGTACATTTTCTTACTAATGTTGGTGCAGTTTCGGGGATACCAAAGCCTTCAATTATGAAATGGAACATGGAATATCATGGACAGTCCCAAAAATACTGAAGACAAATAGCACCCTCAGTTCCGAGAACGGTCCTTACCATGTGCGAGGTGAATGGGTGCGCAGCTGCAATAGCTTTCCACTTTCTCCGCTCGAAAGAGGATGGGGCTGGAGAGGGTGAGAGTCGTCCCCATCCGCCAGCGCAACCCTCCATAAGCAGCCTTTGTCGCGGTGTCAAGTTTCCGGAGCGTAACCAGTACTCGGCTGTAGAGAATAACCAAAAGTGGGAGGGCCCAGACAAGCAGCGCATTTGGCTATGGTAAGCGTGTGGCTGGCAGCCCGGCACCGCGGCCGCAGACTCGAAAGGTACCCGGGTGGCACTACACTCTAGTTTTAAGCTGTTATTGTTTGATAACTGCTGTTTAACGCCGCAGTGCGCGACGAAAGTTATCACAAGAATGCTGAGTTGTGGGCAAAAGTCGGACCACGGACGGGATTCGAACCCGCATCTTCTGCTTACCGGGCAGTTGCGTTCCCTATTACGCTAGCTACACTCTACTCCCGTTTTCGTGCATTTCGAGCAGAATAAGTGGTAAGTTACAGCAGCCATATACTAACTCATCTTCCACATGGCAAGGAGTAGAATCCACGGAGAAGTATGTACAGTATGCTTTTGAGTGTTTGTCACAGCACTCCGCCTCAGTGCTGTGGAATGAATTTCGTCCTTCTTTCTATTTTAATCTCTTGGACTTTTGCGTATCTTCTGTGCTCCCGCTACTCTGTGTACGTTCACCCTTTATCACTGCAAACGAAAGGGGGTGCGGATAGGAGCGTAGCCAGAGCGACGTTTCCACCAATCAAAGCCCTCTCATTTGCAAGGGCTCCGACTGTGTGTGGTCACAATTCCGTTCGATCGGTTGACTACTGTTCCAGAAAATTACGAAAAAGTGTGATAGGTTCAAAAGTAGATAGATAATTAGAGATGTTATCTCTCCAGATTAGATATCGTTTCAGTCTTTCTGCTGTGGCCTCAATCAAGCGAATAGATTCTCTCTGAAGATTGTCATGCTTCCTTTGAGCTCGAAGACAGCAGGTGGTAGCTCCAAAACACATGTGAGGGATGCAATAAGAGACGATCAGTCCCCAGCAGCTGTGATATTGTCGTGGTCCCCCCCCAAAAGACTGCACGGGGTCACGAGTACGGGGCCGTGAAAGCCTTAATTGTTTGCTACACCGCCCATTTCGCAAACTCACGTTTTTACTAACACCGTATCCGCGCGGCGCGTGTCGCGTGCAGCTCTCTTGGCTTTTTGCCAAGTCTGTAATTGCGCTTTGGAATACAAGTACAACGCAATTTCTTTATGCGGATAACATTTTAGGTGCTGCAAAATAAAACCGAAGATGAATGAGATGGGGGGTTTAGAACTCAAGCAAACTTTGCTGTCCTGCATCTATTCCTCAAGAGCCGCGCACTTCCCTACCACACATCAAATTAAACGGCTAAGCCTCCCACTTGTTAGTTTGAAGTATTTCTATAGCATTAGAGCCGGATCGCAGAAATGAACACGCGATTTTAATTTATTGCGTTTCCTTAGTTTTTTCAATTTTGTTTTATTTACATCTACATTCGTTGTTCTTCATTTCTAGCCTTTGTCATCTTCATCACCTTCTATTCGGACTTTGAAGCATGAAAGCCAAATCCCTCAAAATTGTTAGGAAATTGCGTTTTGCTGTATTTTCATGTTTTATTGTCACGTTGTCGGCATTGTCATGTTCTGTGGGAATGCGCGGCCTCTGAGGGATATTGCAGAAGCAGCACAGTTGCTCTTGAGTTCTAGCCCTCGTCATCATCTTCGGTTCTTATTTTGCAGCACCTAAATGTTATCCGCATAAAGAAATTGCGTTGTACTTGTATTCCAAAGCGCAATTACAGAACCTTGGCAAAAAGCCAAGAGAGCTGCACGCGACACGCGCGCGCGCGGACGGTGTTAGTAAAACGTGAGTTTGCGAAACGGGCGGTGTAGCAAGGAATTACGACTTTCCCACGGCCCGTACTCTGACCCCGTGCAGTTTTGGGGGGGCGGGGGACCACGACACATCGACAGCTGGGGGGCTGATCTCATTAACACCTCAATGTGTTTGAGCGTACCATGTATCTTTAATGGTGTTGCTCGGAGGCCCCGGAATGGCCTTGCCTGCTATCTGAACCGTTATACTGACCAGATCTTGCAGATGCTACGATTTCTGGCCTTATGCCATCTAACGTTAATCGTCTTCACGGTGGCAGTATTGAAACGACATAAACCATGTCTGAACGGCGACCTCGAAAACGACCAGTGCTTCTGCAGAGACGGCTGGACCGGTGCCTCCTGTCATCGACGGATGAACTGTGACGGATTCGAGAGAGAAGCCAATGGATCGTGAGTTTCAGATCTAGTGTCACCAGCGTTAGGATACCCTGATAGCATTCTGACCTCCCCCCGAAATTTCCCTGCTCAGGCACATCTTTCCACAACTGTTTTCTAAATTTTCTCAAAAATTCCGAGTGAGGGGTTAGGCAAACGCGACGACTGACTATCAGAAATAAGAGCTTTACTGCGGCACCAACTATGGAGATGGGTGGGGAAGCGGTGAAAGGGTGTGTGATCAAGAGGCCATCGCGATGTCGCGCGCGATACAGCATGCATGATTCAAAGTATCGCGCGGCGTGCGCACGGCTTTATCATTGGCACAGTGGATTTGGCTGTGGTCTGAAGTGATAGCAGCACCGATTTGGAGGAATACTTCTATTGAAAATCTTCGTAGGGCATTTTCCGTACGTGAACCATACGACAATGGTATGTTCCGTAGTAGTGAGCTGCCCAGGAAGACTTACATCTATTAAAAGGTATACTCTATTAAGGTATTGACCTTAATTGAAATAGTGAGCTGCATTCCGATGCAAGTTTCTCCACTGTAAATTTTTCTAACGTAGAACTCTCTGATAGGGCAAGTGGGACGAAATTCAACGGTCACGACATTCGAGGTCTTACTGGGGTAAATGGCATGACTAAGAACTAAAGCAAACACTAATCCAATTCATTTAGTGACGCTGGTAAGATTACGAAGCATACGTATTTGCATTTTTGCAGTTTGCCGCGCGCGATGCCACGTGATCCTAAAGCCCGTCTCCCCATATCTTGTGCAAGGTAGGGATGAACAAACAGAAGTTACTCTACTTCAGTTATCGGTTCATCCACGTCAGATCCTTCCATTAAACTAGACATAATCATCATCTGCTCTTGTGATGATTCTGATTCCACAAGAGTCGCGTGGAGCAAATATTTTCCAGGTACCTCTCTGCAAGCGAAAGACAAAGCCAGTTCTTTGAGCAACCGTAGGTTTCTTAGCGCGCAAGCAATACGTGCGATAATACTGCACATACTATTAAGTGTTCAGCTGGGTGAACTATCTCTCTAACTCATAAATTCAGGTGTGTTCAGTGCTCAGAAGGATGGACTGGAGTCGATTGTGATGCCATTCAGTGCAACGGTCATGGCACTCCAAACTACGACTTGACAAGCTGCCACTGCGAAAAGCCCTATTCTGGTATGCTACTCATTTTGAAGGTTTTGCTGAAATGTTCATTTTAGAAATTTTGAGCTATTTGCCTTCATACACTGCTTTTTCAACAAAAGGGCATTAACATCTAGGAATCATCAATGTTAGAATTACTTCATGCAGAATATTAACATTTCCTGCAGCAGTGTGAGCTATAAGACTTCTGGCCTAGAGACGGGGAGTTTGTTGAAGGAAGCAAAACTCTCCTTTGGCACGTTTCCAACCGCAAAAATTCGGAAAACTTTTTGGCGCATCGCAGTTTTGCTCTCCTATTCACTGGTTAGCACGCGGTTGTTGCAGGCATCACTCAGCTTCAATATAAAATCTCTCACCAATTATTTCGTTTTCAATTCCTGAGTTAAAATGCATTTATTGTCACTAAGGTCCGATCGTGCTAAAGTCCCATCTCTGGTTGGATATTTAAATTAATTTGATTTGATAATTGGGCGGGATTCCCCCTGAGTCGCTAGCGTAATTTCACCCGTCTTCGCAAGATACCGAGCGTCCAAGTAAGGCCATGCTAGATGTCTGCCCACGTCCATAATCGCCGACTCTACAATTTCTGGCGAAAGCTCTGTAGCGCACACACCTGGAGTTTTCGCGGGAAGCAAACTATGTGATATTCCTGTTCAGGAAGTCACCTACCCTTTGAGCGGCCAGTTTTTGGTATATATTCTGTTTCCAAGTTGTTTTGGGGCAGGCGCCTTGGTGACTACGTCCAAAAAAGGAATGCTAGCCAACCCTCAGCAACGTATCTGAATACTATGCCTACTAAACAGCAATCTTCAAGGTCCAGTAACTACCTAGTAGCTATGTTATCCTACTGTGCGGTAATTGCCATGTTAGTGATTTTGTTCTCTCGAAGTCCTATGCAAATCAGCTGCCCTCGGTGGGATCTATTAATATGGTTAACAGTGCTCGCCAGAATCCACCTGCCAATTAAAGTCTTGAAGTTGCGCCCTATTAAACGTAGTTGGTTTTTTTCCCTTGACAATCGCAAATGGAATTTTGGCTACAACTTCCATAAGGCAAAATTCTTCGACTGCCTATAGAAAATGTTTCAAGGACAAGAAAACAAGCTCATTGCCTTCAGCAAGATGGCCCTCCAGTACAATCATATAAAGCAAATGAACATAAAGTTTTATCATGTTTCATCTCGCTTATTTTAATGAACATTTGCCAGTGTTTGGTGCCTATCATATTTCTAAAAGCACCATTCGTTGGGGATAGGACAGCATAGCGGTGGGAAGAATCTCGATGATAAAAAGTCGAAATCATAGTGGCTCTTATCATTCCTCACTGGCCAACAATTTCCTTTCCGGTGAAACTCGAGCGTTTAGCGGTGGAAGCAATTCCGACCGCTAAACTGAGGGATATTGCTAGGAATAGAAATTTGGCCAGGATGATGTGAGCACATACGGAGTCCCAAAAGCCGTTGTCGGACACTGACAGAATTTATCTCCCACCTTTAATGTTCCGTGAGCACCCCTGAATTACTTGCTGGAGCAGTTCCACAGTGTTGCAACAACTCTGCTGTGAATTTTCGGGGTATCTTATCAGCTCTTATCATATCCTGCCACAAACCAATAATGGTTCCATTCTGCACACTATCTTGCCTCTTGGAACCGACGTCCCGTTGTGCTGGTCGACGTTGTGAGTTAGGTGTCTCTACCCTTCTAAGGCTCCTTATGGTATCTTATCAGCTGTTATCAATTCCTGCCACCCACCAATAATGTTCCCATCCTGCCCCCTACCTTACTTCCTGGAACCAAGGTCTCATCGTTGCTGTGGCCCGCGCTATGAATGTGGTGATCCTCCCCTTATAAGGCTGCTCGCGGTATCTTATCAGCTCTTATCAGTTCCTGCCACCCACCAATAGTGTTCCTGCACGACCCCCTACATGACTTATCAGTTTGAGCGCTCTATCACTCTTTTGAAGGAAGTTATGAATTTCCGGTCAAACACACATACACACACACACACTCACACCAACAGACACGAACTTAGGCGGATATATAATACGTAGGACTCTTATGATTAATAAAAAATAACATACATGAACAATATAAAGCAGCACTGTAAAACGAATGTCATATGGCCCTGTTTTCAATCACTCGGAACCATTTCTAGCTCACTTCCCTATGCTCTCATTTCAGGTCAGTTCTGTGAGACGTTCGAAACAAAAGACATCTACTCCTACTACAACAGAATCGTTTCACAAACGGGTGCTATTGGAGTGCTCACCTGTATGCGCTTTTGTTTCTCATCTATTCTCGGTAAAGCCCAGTTTTCTTTCAAGACATTACTTATTACTTATGTTTAACCTACCTACTATTCTATCCAAATACTCTTTGAAAACGCAGAATAATGATAAATAAAATAAAAAATCAGATCAAAGCTACGTGATGGGGGAACTAGTTGTTCCAAGTTACACCGTCCGCACGCAGACGTTTTCGAGTGTCAAGTAAGCGAACGGGAATAGTTGAAGGGCCTAGAGCTTCGCCCTACAAGACCATCAACTTTTTAAAATGTAGGCATTAGAATGCATATCTTCATAACTAACCGAAGCGCGAGATGAAGGTGTCGGGCTATCTCTTTTGGGATACGCCGTGCATTCGACTGCTATCCAGGATGACATAACATACTGAATTCCAGTATGGCGAGAATAACTCTCGGAAACTACGCGATCTAAAAGTTTATCATTCAATTTCCTGGTCCAGTCGAATTTGGATTCATCAACCCCGAAAGATGAATATTTCGCATGGCCCACTTGACATTCGTGTGATAACGGCACCGCTTTCCGCTATCTTATTTTCATTCAAATGAACCAAATCAGTACGCCGATAACCGAATCGAAATTCTCGCTCGACCTCGTGTAATAGCTAATTGGCCTTGATAGTAACATAGACTGATAACGACCGGCTCATGATAGGACGATCGTGAAGAAGGAAGTAGAAGCAACCAAACGAAGGTTCAAACCATACACGCGTTTAAAACTTCAGAACAATCCCCGGCGCGTACCATTCCAATGCAGGAAATTTGGTATCAACGCCATTATTCGTATGTTTCTCATATGATTGGTGAGGTACGATCCTGCGATATGACGATGCCTCTGGCCAAGTCATGGCTTGGAATTGAGTCACAGATCTTCCAATGACACTTTGGAACAAAATGAATGGCTAAAGGCCTTGGTAATGTAACAGTCCATCAACTTATGAGTTGCTACGTATCCACACACCCTCTTAGTAGTGTTCTTTACCAATCTTTTTTGCCGTCATAAGGTTTAAGACTTTCCGGACCGCGTGACACACATGGTGTGTCATACATTTTCCTCGTCGCGCTGTTTCATATTGTCTATTTGGCATCTTTTTCGTGCTTCATGTTATCAAAACACCTTTTTTGGACACATGATACGCATATCTCATAGGAAAGTGGAAGAAATAGATGAAATTACTGATTGCCGATCCACAAAGTGACAAGTTGATGGGGAGATCCTCGCACAATGGGTTAAAGGCAGCGTCCGCGTTCAATTTGATGAGTTATGGGGCTCAGACAATGACAACAAGGTAGCAAGTAGTTCATTAGTGAAGAAAAATGCAAAAAAATCATCGGATATGCCCTATATAGGACCCCACGCCGAGCTGAGGTTGTACGTGCTCAAGGCGAAAGAAGGCGCGGCCGCACGAGTTCTCACTTGTTGATATCAGCTGTTTTCCCTTATCACCTCACTCTCACCATTCGACGTGGAGAGAGTTAGTAGCAGAACAACCGCACCATCAGAAAAGCGGAACAACCGCACCATCAGGCAACCATTAGAAATGAAGTTGGGCGTAGTGGTCGCCAGGTGGGCGGGGTGGCCGACTCTTCACGAGCGGGCGCCGCTATTCTCTCACATTTTTGAGTTGCGAAACTTGTACGTCCACCATCCTCACAGGGGTGAGCTACGATATACAAAGAGGGCGTGGAAACAACAAATGAACGTGGGCGCTGATTTAAGCATGTGATTGGCAATCATGCGACTCACCCTATATGAAATTCTAGCTGTTCCCTGTCCGCGAAGGGAGCCGAAACCGTGACCGCTCGGCCGTAGCCGCAGCCGTAGCCGTTTATATCATAGCGCAAATATTATTATGATTGATCTAGGTTGTGATGGAATCTCAGGATGCTGCCTCGCGCAGATGTGTGAATTAGAACGGTGATACGAGTAGGGTGCTTCGAATTTCCAATGTTCCCCGTTACGACAGGAGCTCAAGTGCCTGTTACGGGCGGGACTCACTCCAACTTTTGGAACTTCGCCATTCGTTTTTCTAGTCATTTATCGAACTGGTTACACGTTTCCTGCAGGAAAATGTGAATCGGAAGAAAGCTCGGAGATGATTGTGTATTGAGCCACTTAGCTGCAGAGATTTGAAATGTTTCCACATAGTGATCTGAACAAGCATTCCTAAGCGCCATTTGATGCCACCACCTAGCCGAACTGCGCCGTAAGAGCTAAGGTAGAGACCACGGTGAGACTGCGTAGTTCCTCTTCATGAGCTATTGCTGCTTGATGAGGAGGGAACAGGTAGGAAAGCCTAAACTCCATTAAGTGCAGGAATGGTCGTCGCTCCTTGTAATCCTGAGTGAGCGGATGGTCAGCAGAGGAATGTATACGGGAGGGTGTGTACGCCAGAATGAAGAGGATGAAGGGGACTGGTAGGAGGGACGAGGCTGATTAGACTGTCAGGACAACGAAAGGATCTTACGCGCTGTGGTAGATGGCTCTACTCCTTCGAATTGTGACCTAGCACCCTAACTGTGTCAAAGACTCGCGGCGGTCCTGTAAGATTACTTGGAAGGCATACATAAGCTTAAGCAGTACAATGGAGTTAAATTCGAAGTAAAGCGCACATAGTTGGCGCCTGAGACAGAAATTCCGTCAGAAAAGAACTCGAAGCGTTCTGTTCCCACAAGAAATGCAGCGAATCCAGCCGAGACGAAGTTCCTTGGTAGCCGATGGGTTTCCCTACCCACTGACACCGTGACAACAACCTTCCCCTGACAACACCATGTGGTGCGCATAGTTTTACCACAGCGACAGTTCACAACAAGTGAACTGCCGCTGTGGTAAAACCACGGGAAACTCGTCCGAAATCGATTTTCAAGTCACTGAGAACGGAGGCTTTTTCTTCGCAGGATTTTGACCGTTTCACTCCGTTCTTTCGCCACTTCCCCCAC